CCCCAAAACCCCAAAACCCCAAAACCCCAATTTGATATATATTTATTCAAATGGAAAATGTACTAGATCCCCTGGAGAATGAAGTACCTAGGTACAGAAATAATCAGGCTGAGTCTAACTATCGAAGAAAATCCCATCAAGTAAATATCACCGAATGAGATTTATAGGTCCCAGAGCTTCAGTCACATCCAATAAACACCCTTGAATTCGAGATTGAAAGAAGAGAAAGAGGCGATAGTCTATTTGATCACACTGATAACTCAAAAAGTAAGCTTCTAAACTTCCATATATACCTAAAAAGCAAATTGTTACTTAAAACTATCTCCAGAATGTTCTAAAACCAACTAATTCTATGAAAAATTCCATTCCTGGTTCGCTTAACAAACCTACCTTACGTGCAAAATTCCTCAATTTTCCCTAATAAATTTCGAAAAATAGATATTGCAAATGAAGGGCCAGTCCGAGAATGCCATCAGATAGATCTCTCTGCAGACAACAGTGAAGGTAAGACCCCACTAGTAATCACACAGAGTTTAATGAGTTGGACATTGACGAAGCCTCAAACAGCAATCATTTCATTGTATACGGTAAGGCAGATGAAAAAGTTTTTAATGACTTGTAGACCAACAAAGTATTGAAGAAGACCCAGAAGAAAGATCCCTCAGTGTACGACTGGATATTGATGCGTACAATGAAGAAGAGGTCAAAAGAGCAATGGCATACCAGAATGTAAGCCCTGATGAGTAATATTTAGCCCAAGATTACAATGAAGAATAGTTACTACAAGGTAAGCAGCATAGGCTAGAGTTTAGGGGTCTAAAACTAAGAAAATTGTCAAAAACCCGATATATTATTCACCTAGGATGAATCTTAACGGTCAAGGATCACCAATGGACAGCTCTCTGAGGAAAGGTAAGGGTATATTTTTATCATAGTAAATTCAAGAGCTAACATGTCTTCAAGGACAAAACAAGGATCTGGTAAGACTCTCCTCTAAACTTCAGATCGCAATAGGTGTAATTCAGGCTACAAAGCATCAGTGAAAGACAGTAATGAGTAGAACTCATAATCTAGGACTAATCGGAAGCAAAAATCACAACACAACCTCAAAGAAACTCCCCTATGGATTAAACCAGAGGAGATCTTTAGAAGATCTTGGAGTTCCAGAAGAACTCAAAGTGTTCTCTCCAGTTGCTGATCTGAACAAGAATGGGATTTTTATCAATAAGGAATATTACCAAAATCCTTACTTGTCCAATACCAATTCAAGTATGTTTCTTCATAATTTCCAAGAAGTAAATCTTCATGAGAACTCAGATATCCAGAAGTCAAAAAAGAGCCGGAATGGAGGAATCGTAGGCTCAGAATGTAACACATAGGCATGAATTTCTCCGAAATTTCTCACTTTCGATAAGAAACTCTGAGGCAAGATGCATCAGTCTAATACCAGCAGAAAGCTGCAGAATGAGATCGCCCGGAAATTATGAAGGTAACACAATGATTTGAATCTTTAGCGGAGGCTCTGGGTTTCTTACAAAACAACAAAGCAACCCATCGCTAGAATCTTCTGTGCGAGAAAATCTCAGTCCGAAGTTAGAGAAATATAAATCTGCCTGCAATAATAACAAGAGCAGGAATAATCATGGGATGATGAGCCAGACAAGCAAGACTTTTGAGAGTTTCTACTCTAGTCAAATGGAATACCAGCGCAAAAAGTAGTCTTTTTCTTCATTCTTCTAGATTGACTAAGGCACAACAGAGAGCAGAACAGAAAATTATTAATGAACAAATGCAAGCTAAGATAATGAGGTTAGTCTTACTTTTAATAATTTTAGTAACATGAGGCACACTTCGAATAAATAAGGGAATGTTTAAAGTAAAGAGCAAATATCTGAACTACAAATAAGCCCCAGAAAAACTATGGGGAACTTGAGTATGACCCTAAATCTCGAAATCAGATTAAGAAGAGCAATACCAGCACTTTTATCCCACAGATTAATAAAAAGTCCAAGATGATCAAGAGGGAGTTGAATATCTCAGACCATCTTTATAGAGATGCTAGTAACCGTCAGTTAAGTCGATCTAATAAAAGAATCTCAGGATCTCCAATCAGAGATTCTAAAGCTCCAAAAACCCACAAAGTAACAGGGAAATATCTCTGGAAGAAGCTTAGAATTGAGCTACAGAAATGTATAGATGCTTATTCCATCCAGGATCCAATCACATATGAAGAAATGGGAACTATCTTATTAGATCTTGGATATATTCCAAAGAAAAGCCAAAAGATCAAGATCAATGGAAAGATAGTGGAGCTAACCCAGGAAATTGTGAAGATTCTAAAAATTCCTCAGCAAATATCACAGCAAGTTTATGGAATTGATAACCAAGATGTAACTACACTAGCAATCACTAAAGCATTCTTACAATACTTATGCTCTCCAAGTATGACCTCCAAAAGGTAAATTTCTCATCTAACTTAGCAGCCCAAAAAGACATATTTTCAGAAAAGAGAGCCCTGGAAGCCCTGAGCACGTTCCTGAAAACACCGGCACATCAATTCCAAACCAGCTTTACTCAAATTCTTCTGCTGTAACTTCCTCCTCATGACTTCTAGACCGATGCAGCTCCACTAATGCCATCAGAATCCTTGAACAGACAGTAAGATCTCCCTCTTAACCCCTAGGCACACCTGTCTGACTCCTCATCAAAAGTACAAACTATCCAAACTTGCCTTCACCCTTTGTGACAGTAGGCGTGAATTCCTAGCTAAACTAGCCAAAACAGAAAAGATCCGTAAAATGAACGTTTCACCGAGCTTCATGCCTTGTATTTCGTCCAAGAGTCTAGCTCTTGCTTCGCAAATTGATAAATCCCAAAGAACAGCTAGGAAGGAAAATCTTCCTAGAGAAGCTCTGGAGGTTCAAAAGTGCACATTCCAGCCTAAGCTTGGTGAAAAGACGAAGCAAATAGTCCAGGGACATAAGGAAACTGTGTTCAAGCGGCTAGCCCAGGCTGTGAAGAAGAAGCGTACGAAGGAATATTTGAATTTTGAGTTGGAACAGAAGGATTCTGCAAGGAAAAATAAGAGGTACAAAGGAAAAATTAGGAAGAAGAAAGAAACGAAGAGGAAGGAAGCTGTAGTGAGGATGGAAGCTGATGAAGAGAAGGAAGAGCAAAAGGAGCAGAAAAGTGGAATTTTGGATCTGAAGGAAGAGAAAGCCTCTGAATCCATCCCACAGTTGTTCATCGATGTCCATCTTGATGATAAGTCTATACATAGGTTGACTATTTTTGAGGGAGACGACCCTAAAGATCTGGCTCAAGATTTTTGAACTAAACATGGTATGAAATTTTAACGGATATTTTAGTTTTCACTGATTTGTTATAATTTTTCATAGATCTTGATGAAAGTATGCTTGATCAGCTAGTTGAGATCATTAACTCACAGCTTGAAAAGTTATTGAACACTATCCAAGAAGATGAGGGAAACGAGGATGAAGGCAACGAAGATGAAGATGAGTAATCCATTGAAGTAATTCAACAATAATAAACATATCTGGGGTTTTGGGGTTTTGGGGTTTTGGGGTTTTGGGATTGGGG